CGCCCAACCGACTGAGCCACCCAGGCGCCCCCTGTGTGCATGTTTTAAAAGTACTGTAAGTTCAGTATATCCAAACCTAAAGCCATCAACTTTCTCATTAAACACCAATCCTCTTAACCTTTGTGAATAGTTTTCCATTCTACTTTAAAGACACTAAAATGGGCTACTGTAGGTGATGCTCTATGGGTGTGGCTTATGCTCAGAAGAGGACCTGGAAATCCCTTCAGGGAGCCCTTCTTGGTAGAAAAGGCTTTGGTTCTTCCTCAAGAAATTAACCAAGGGATGATGCACTGCTACATACTTTAAGTTAAAATATAGTGTGACTAAAATTTTTAATAATTAACTCAAAGGTTTAATTAGAAAACCAAATATCCATCCTCACTGAATCACTAAGACGGCTCCTACTTTACACATCGCTCTCCCGGGCGTGTAGGTTTAAAACTCCGAAGTAACATTACTGCACTTTGTTTCCAACACGTGTTGCTAGGTCTAAAATGGATTTTTATGTTATACCAGGTTTTCTAAATGCTGCATGTATTCTTCTCTCTTGGCCACTCATAATGCGCATCATCATATTAAAATCTCTGAGAGGTCCTTTAGGAAAAGATAAGTTCATTTAACTTTGTATACATCAGTGTTTTTTCAAAAAATCTTTTTGATGATAGAGTGCCCTGCTCCACAGTCTGTTAAAGAGCACCTGTTAAAACATGGGTGAAAAATACATCGCAGAGTCACCTTGCCTCTCTTCGCTGCTCACGAGGAAGTAGCCATCACCCATGGGCTCTCACCCTCCCACATTTCCTATTCCCTCCTCCCTGCCTGTTGCCACCATTCTTGGGTGGGCCTCACCTGGCCTCGCAGAACCCCCTCTTCACCAGGACTCCTACCCTCTGTGCTGGGCCTTCTCCAGCCCTACAAACTGACAGCAGATGCGTTTCTGAAAGTATGGCTCTCTTCTCATCACAGACTCCAGCCTGCCTTGAGTCTGTCTCCTCTGCAGTCTGTCCTTCAGGTAGCCACCAGTTATCTTTCTAGAGCATCACTCTGATTCTGGCTTACACCTGCCCGGAAACCTTCGCTGTCTCCTAGCATGTCTTACAGAACCGCACAGCTCGTGCCTGTCCCGAAAAGCCCTCACAGACTATCTTTCACCCCTCCTTCCCGCTGCCGCTGCTTCCCTGTCCTCTCCAGCTCCACCCCCACTGGCCACGCACCAAACCCTCTGCTCCCCAACCCCCACAGCCATATTTGCTCTTGCTAGAACACTCCATGCTCCTTCTGAGATATATCTCTCTGCTCGCATTGATCTTTGTCCCCGTCTCCCAGCCAGAGAGAAGTGCTTTGTAGTTACTGTTGTATTTTATACTTGCCTTTTATGGTTCTTCTTCTGCATTATGCTAAACATATATTGTCTTCTTTTCTCCGCCTGTAATCTTCTTTCCAACAGGAATTGAGTCTTACCCATCTTTGTATCTTTTGGATTATCTCATACATAGTAAGTGTTCAGTTACTGTTCTTTTCGTGGCACTTTCTTTTCATTCAGAAACAGCTGTGGGAGAAATATTTAAATTCTGCTATTTTTGGTCCACTTGTTAAAACATATTGAGCTTACCCGAGCTCCAAGAGTGATCAAACTTGGTAAGAAATAGTCTGTATTTTCTTATCACTGCTTTCCCATCTGTTTTATTCACTTAGTTTGTACTGAATATAGCAGAAAAACAAGCCAATTGTTTATCATTTATTAGCATACATGGCTGACCGATAGCTTGTTAGCTGATAACCTGACCTGACCTCTTTGTAACTGGAGACAATTAAGTGGAATCCAGTTTATTCTTTTAAGAAAAACTTAGTAACTCTCACTAAAATCGAGAAAACTTATCCATTTGTCCTTCAGTTATGCAGCAAGGAGGGAAAGCCGGTGGTTTTCAGGGATGCAACAAGGGCAAGTGTAGGCTGTCAGCCCTGCTCTGTATCACAGACACATCGCTCCCCGACCCTTTCCCTAGGAAGCCACTGTAAGTTCTTCTGGTAATGATAATAATAGGCATTTGATTTGAAACCTGGTAATAACTTATTTGATGTAGATCTTAATAGAAGCTGCAATGAAAACCGTTGGACATGCGGGTTGCGGGGAATAGCCCATTAAAAATGAAATAAAACTGGTGAAATAAAATTTTAAAAAATGTGTAACCAGGATGGAAAACAAAAGAAAATGTGATCTTAAAACAAAAATAGAGGCTCTAAAAGAGAAAACAAGAGGAGATTGTATAAACTAATTAATGAAGACTATGGTTTTGCCTTATTTCAAAGTTCTAAATTCTATTTCATTTGACTTGTGCGAAAAAAGCTTTCATTAAATTTTATTCACATTTATTTTATTATTTGCATTTCTCACATTTATTACTTGTTCTCTTTAATAGTAATCATATTTCCTTTCTAGTTAAATTCTTATTTAATAAAGAATGACTTTTAGTGTCCATTCGACATTGAAAATTTGTCATATTGATACTAACTTAAGACTTAAATACAAAGAGAACTTTATCCCCTCATCCCTTTGGGTTCTAATGCTTTTCATCTCCGTTTCAGGCAATTTTTTGTGACCAATAATGCAGTCATTTCAGTGCCAGCAACTTCCTATTGGAAGTGACATTTATTTATTTAGTCAGTAAATATTTATTAAATACTTAAGAAGCAGTCACCAATAAAAGTGATAAACAAGAAAAACAAGGTTTATGCCCACAAAGCATTTACATTTTAACAGTCTTTTTTTAAAGAAAGAGTAAAAATAGGCTATGATTAGAATAAGATTATAAACTCTATGAGAAAAGAGATATTCTCTTTTATTCACTGCCACATTCCTAGCAGTTCTTGGTATAAGGAGGTGCTCAGTAAATATTAGTTAAATTAGTGAGTGAATGCTTTGAAATAGCTTTGTAGCCAGAGAAAATATCTACAGAATCTAGATATTTAGAGTTTTTTTTAAATTTATGTGTCTAATATTGTCTTATTTCTAATCCCCAAACTGTAGTGAAGGTTAACCATGTTCTGTGAAAACACAATCCACAACACATATGAAACACATTAAGACCTGCAGGGTGCTAGACCAAGGCTGAGTATTTAGAAGTCTCTGGTTGAAGGAGACAAAAACCAACTCAAGCCAAAGGAAATGTATTTGGGGGATATTAGAAACTCACAAAAGTCGTGGGAAATGTGAAGAAACTGGCCTGAACACAGGGAGAGTTC